TTCATAGCCCATCATGTTATTACTTTTACCTTCTTCTGATGAATGTATATGACACCGGCTCTATACTGCAACTTTGATTTATTAAACTTACTTTATGCTGCTTGGCTTATGCTTTGTTGTTTACTTCTGTTTCAGCACCATAAACATGACTGGAGTATGCTATGTTCATTTATCCATCACTCTTTTAATTTCATGCCAAAATGACCCATTTGTATGCATGGGAGAGCTTTCTTCTTTTTACTAATGGTGCTACATTGTGGAAGGTGGAGCTAATGCATCATTTTTTGTGATTGTTGGTGGGACCTACCTAAAATAATACATGCATTTTTTTACACTTTGACACTTCCAAACATTCTATTCTGCACAATGCATGCATTCAATAAACACAACTCTAACAATCAGAACTACCAAACGGCCCCTAGTTCATTCTGCAACTTGGGACAAAAGTTAGAAAATTGGAGTTTTGCTTTTATGCCAAAGCTGGCTGGCTTATTGCTTTGAGAACCATGTACTAATATTTACCTTTGTCGTCAAGATCTTCCTATGTTGGGATTGTTACCATAGCATATTTTGCTTCAATTGTGTGCGTGTAGTATTCTATGTACAATACCCTGGTTTGCCATCACCTAATATGCTCACCACACGATTATGTTTCTGCAATTTTAGTTCACGCAGCATAGCCACGGTATTGATTCTAGTACGATATATTAAGCAGGATTGAAGATTCTTTTGGGGATTAGTGACCAAATAACAGGAAATTGGAAAGAGAAATCCTTTAAAAAAAAAAAAGAGGATTACCTAATCTTTGTAATTTTGTTCTCCCTTCACTATCCAATACTCTTTCCCCCTGTTGTTGGGTTCAATCCACCCTATCGTATCAATTTGCCGCTTTGGCAAGGAACCCTCAAGCGTAAGAAAACAGAGAGACAAAGAGCAATGGATTCAAGAGGCTGGTTATTTCTCTATGGGCGAGCATTCATTTTATAACTGGAGTTTGCATCTATGTCCTAGAAGAGCTTATCAGAGTGAATTCTTGTGACCTCTTTCACCAACTTGCCATTCCGGATTCTTCATATTGTGTCTTGAAGCCCCCAAGTTCTTCTGCTACGACTTTTAGAAGCATTCCGTAGGTGCCTACGCAGCAAGAGTAACAATCGGGTACAAATGAGAAGGTCCTATTAAAAATTAGAGTGCTCCAATAGTGAGCATACCTATATCACAGTTGTTTGCTCAATCAGTCACCCTCCTAGAGCGACAAAATAAAACGAATAAGAGTACCGTCAAATTTAATAATCATATGACAAATCCTTCAATAACAAACGATTGTTGTAAATTGAATGAGTATATAACTGGAACGGGGAACTAAACCAGCAGCCCTTGGGTTTTCTCTGAGGTCATATAATAAAAAGGAGGAAAGGCTTACCTCAACATCAATCCAGCAAGTAGAGGAGCCCTTTTACTATGCTATAAAGTATTGGTGCTTTAATGTACAACTTGAAGTTGTACCCTAACATTAAATGTATAAGTTCAAGTTGTACCATAAAGGAATTTGTACTCTTATGTTATGGTACAACTTTACAAGTTGAAGTTCTACCATCACATAAAGGTACAAGTTCAAGTTGTACCATAAAGAATATGTACAAAACAGTGTAGGTATAATCTAAAACTGTACAATAACATTGAATGTACAATTTCCAGTTGTACCATAAAGGTTAAAACCTATAGCACCAATTATTTTATAATCTTAAGAGAACAAGCAAAAGTGACACTGTTTCTTAGAGTCAAATCAAAGAAGTGACCATTTTGTAATTGATGAAAACTTTAGGTGTCTGTTTGGAAGTTTTGTGGATATTTTTGGATTTTTATTCCCTGTCTCTCTTCCCAATCATCCAACTTGCCTTCTCTCTCTTCCTTCTAGGCAGACCATAAAAACATTTTCATTTCTCCCTCTTTCTGTACAAGAACCAAAAAAATTAAGGAAGAAAGAGAAGATTAGTCACATCAATTGTGATTTTTTTATTGTTTATCATTTTTAATTAATTAAATTTTTTAGTATTACCTTTTATGACAATTGACACATGTGTATTGTGTAGTGTATTCAACCTAATTTGTTCTGGTCTCGGTGCGTCAAATTTTGGTTCGAGAACGAATTACATCCGCTTTTGTAATTGATGAATAGGGTCGTGTGTGAACTTTGTTTAAAACTAACCCCTTTGGCAGGTCCAGGTGTTGCCGAATTTTGGGTTATGCCCTCTTATTGGTTCGTGTGTGAATGTTGTTTAAAACTCACCCCGCTTTATCAAGCCGATCGTAGCGAGTTCAATCCAGCATTGACGATTGAACCTGAATCCATTGTATTCAACGTAATTCGACCCCGTAAAAATGAGTTGAACCCAATGTTGACGAATTTTGGGTTGGGACGGGTTGTGTTAAGTATGGATTTGGTTCCTTTTATGTACACGTGTATTCAACTTACTTTGACCCGGTCAAAGCGAGTTGAACCCTATGTTTTATGAATTTTGGCCAGAGACAAATTTTACCCATTTTTGTAACTGAAAGGTTGGGTGAGGTGCGGATTTATTTCCCTTTATGACAATTGAACCTAAAACCATGTGTATCCAAATTCCAACCTGATTCAACTTAATCAAAGCGAGTTGGACCCGTTGTGGACACATTTTGTGCCTATAACGAATTTTGCCCGCTTTTGTGAGTTTTAACTTTTTCATTTTTTTGTATTCATTTTTACTTTAGTTTCTGTCATTTCCTACTTCATTCCTCTCTCCATCTCTCTCACGCAGAAAAAGAGCCGAAAAATGAGTTTATTTTATATTTCCATCACTTTCCAGTTTCCACTCCTTTTCTCTCTTCTACTAAAACCTCTCATGGAAAAAGATCGTCATCGTCAGGAAACACGAACAGGGAAAGCACGATCGAGGCGAGCGAGTTTTGCATTCTTCCTCGTCTTCTTCTCCTAGTGCTTCTTTTTGTTCCTTCGTCTTTTTCTTATGAGAGAAAGGGAGAGATGAAAATTGATTGATTAGTAGGTAGGCGGGGTTCAAGATACAGCGAGTAACTAAATCTGGACCTATCATTTAGAAAATCCAGATTTAAGGTTGGAGAATTAAATACATTTTTATTTTCCCTTGTTTAGTTGTTTTCTTAATCGACTCATATTTTCTTCGTTTTAACTCGGATTTCAATTTTTTTTACGCAGATGCAACAATTTCGTTATGCTCTACAAAATGAGATCCATTTACAATATTTTTCAGAATTTTTTTTATTGCCTCTCGTTAGCAACTGCATAACATATAGTATCTTCTTCGTTTTGAAGTCGTTTTTGAAATTTTTTGCACAGAAGGAACGAGTTCATCATGATCTATTGGATCTACAAAATTATGGGTGAATAAAATTTAGGACCGAAAAATTTCACACAATACCATACAATACCACCTTGGTACGTGGTGGTATCTTGTGGTACACAATGTTCAAAGTCGTAAATGACAGTTAGTATACTCCTATTATCATGTATTCAAACATCCTACACTCTTGGTATGTTCATACCACCATAGTACGCTTTTCATATCATATGATATACTCTTATTTCAATACCAGTCAATACCCTATGGTATAGACTGATAAAAAATGGCTCAATTTTTTTCCAAAAATATATCAAAGTGGATATCATTTTGAAGAGTACAATTAATCTGATCTAACTGTGTAAAAAAATTTAAATTCCATCTTTAAACGAGTGAGAGATCGTATGTTAAAGTATGGGGAAAAGTTAAAGGCTTTTCAGGATAGATAAGGGGTGCTAATATGGCGGATTCTTATTGAGTTATACATAGTTATTGACCACAAGGTTATCCACCTTATATGCTCCCGGTGGGTGGGAGGAGTTACGAGAAAGAGATGAAAAATGAGTGGATAAGAACAAATACAAGGGAAGGAATAATGAAGGAAAATATAATTATGTTATTGGTCCTTAAATTTCAGTACATAACGAAAAAGGTACTCGTTTGATGGGACGAGGCATCGATTTAAGTGTGCAAAACTCGACGGCAACCAAAAGTTCGTAAAATCGACGTAAACTCACTTTAACGGGTGGATTTAGTTCGGACACCCATTGATCTGGGATCAATTCGGGTTTATTCATAAGTTAATTAATTAGAACATAGAAAAACTCCTTCGTGGTTAGAAACAAATTGACATCACCGGGTTTAACTCATTTTAATCGGGTCGAGGAAATGATGATTAACCCGACATAAAACCCAAAACCATAAACACAAAAGATTTGCAAGGTCTGCACAACGTAAAATTTGCAAGGAAAGAACAATAAAACCTGGGTCAGATCCAATTCTTTAACACCGGTTTCAACTTGCTTTAACCGACTCGACATCATATAAAATCCCCATTGATTTAAGCGGGTTCAAGTAGGTTGAATATCTATTGATTTGTGTTTAATTTGGACTCAATTGTCATAAAATAATTAATTAGAACTTTAATGACATAACACCTCTTTCAAGATTTGGTTAATTACAAAAATAACACCACTGGTAATGTGACTTTATGAAATAATAATTTTGAACTTCTTCTTTTAAACAGTTAATTATCATCTTATACCAGTAAGGCACAATGAGTTTTCATGATATGGTACGAGGTGGTATAGTGTCATGATTGGGTCTAACATATTTTTATCATCTTCTAATCATGACACAGTAAGTACCATGGTGGTAGGGGTGGTATTTTGTGGTCTTATCATATCACGTTGGATTGCATTACCATCGCACATTACCAATGAATCGTTAGTTACCATGGTGGTGTCAGTACTGTTATACTATCATCGAGTAGTATTATGCTATCATACTACCACCATGGGTGGTATAGTTTGGCATGATTCTACGAAAATAATTTATCACCTGCTACCTCCATGGAAGGTATGTAAGACGCCGGTTAAGAAGGGAGGTCTTGGAATACATGATTTGGAGCTATTCAATGACGCCATGCTCTCAAAATGGCTATGGAGATTCGCAACAGAGAGAGGAAGTTGGTGGCGCGGATTGATTAATTACAAATATCCGAATGAAGTCTCCTGCTGGCAGACCAAGAGGGTAAGAAGTGGTTTCTCCAAGTCTGTTTGGGCTAACATCAGTAAAGAATATGATCAGTTCTGGAATTTTGCTGCGATTGACCCGGGGAACGGTACTCAAGTCTCCTTTTGGCACGACTGTTGGATCCCTGGGATTGTGCTGGCTGCTTCGTTTCCTCGCGTCGCCGCTGCTGTCCTTGACCCTGAAGCTCTTCTATCCGACACTGCGAACATCCATGGTGAGTTGGTGAGTTGGAATCTTGATTTCAAATATGATTTGAGGGGTGGGGCAGCAAGGGAGAGGGATAATCTTATGAATCTGTTAAACTCTGTGAATTTGGCATTTTCTTCTCATAGTCCGTGCAGGATCACTTGGAAACAAGAGGCAAGCTCGAATTTCTCGGTGAGATCATTTTATAGGGAGCTGGCAGGCATTCGTTCAAGAGATATAGAAGATTTCCCTGTGGAAAAAGTTTGGGTCTCGTGGATTCCGAGTAAAATCTGCTACTTCATATGGCTGGTTTACCACAATAAAGTGCTAACTCTAGACAATTTGAAGAAGAGAGGTTGGTGTTTAGCGAATAAATGTGTTCTCTGTATGAAGGACGAGGAGTCTGTCCATCACATGCTTGTGGAATGCGAATACGTTAGGAACATATGGAGTATGATATTCTGCAGGAGGAGTGGGACACCGAGATGGAATGGTGAGATCGTTCAAGTTATAGCAAACTGGCCATCTGCAGATGGAGATGAAATTGAGAAGTGGTTCGATGGATGCATTTTACATTCCATTTGGTGGGCTGTGTGGCTCGAGAGGAACCAGAGGACGTTCGAGGATAAAGCAACATCCATGATGGTGGTGGGAAAAAAGGCGGCGAGGAAGGCCCTAGAATGGATGGTGGTAAACGGGAAGGTGCAGAAAGCAGAGGGAAGGAGATGGCTGTCAGAGAAGGACTTAGTTTAGTAACAGATTAGTGAGGAGGATGTGGGTTCTGGATTCTCGTGTATGTATACGGCTGTTTCAGGGGATCGCGCGACTCATCGGGGATGAAGGCAGTTGCTGGATCCCTTCTTATTGGGTTTTTCCCGGCGGAGAGTTGGTGCGATGCTGTTTCCGGTGGCTGCGCGGGGGATTTGCTTGTTCTTAACTGTTTCCTGTGGCTGCGCGGAATCTTTGATGTCGTTACTGCTTGATGCGGTGGGGGAAAGTATTTTGTTTTCGCGGGCTGAGGTGTTTAGGGGGTGAGCTTAAGGATGGACGGGAGGCGATTTGAGTGTCCGTTGTGGGGGCTGTCTTTTGCTGGGAATTTCTTGTTGCGTTTCGTGTTTTTTTTTTTTTTTTTCTGTTGACTTGTTTACTTTCTCTCTGAACTGCTCAGGATCATCTCTCTTGATCCTGTTTCCTTGTGTACAGCTGTTCCCTTTTCTAATAAAGCTTCACCATTATAAAAAAAAAAATAAGTTACAATGATGAGATGAGGTAGTAGTACTATAATATCATTGTAAGATGGTAATGTACTGTGATATTATGATATCATCATACCAGTAATTTTTATGTTTTGAAATCCGGACTATATAGTGTAATCGTTTTCATTGCATTACTAATCGAATAATCAGATCGAACCTTTAGTACATTTTCAGTTCAATACTCAATCTCTATCTTCCCATTTTCTCAATCTTAATCTCAACTCCTTCTCAACCCATACTCAATTTTCTCTCGACTCTGTCTCAAACCCTCGGTCTAATAAACTAGTCTATGCAGAATTCCATTAATCAATCCATGCATGCACCATGAACAACAGTGGTATCGTCATCATTTGAACTTAGACTGGAGCTGAGTGGCCACACTGTCATCAGCCTGAAGCGCCTTGGCGACAACCTCGACCGGAATCTTGGGACACGAACCCAACACCGCCGCGACCACCGGCTGGGTCCCAGGGTTCTGACTGTCGAGCGCCGCGATCCCGACGGCTGCCTCCTTGCCGACGTTCCTCTGGTAGTGCGTCAGCGCCTGGGGAAACACGAACGCTTCCCCGGCTTGCAGGACCTTGGTGATGAGCTTGGTCTCCGGCAAGGTGGTGACGAACCCGACCTCGAGGGAGCCTTCCATCACGATCAGCAGCTCACTCGCCCTCGGGTGGATGTGTGGCGCGTTCACTCCACCGGGGGCGAAGTCAAGGCGGACCATGGACAGGCCTTGGGTGTTGAGGCCCGGGATCTGGTTCACGGTCACCAGCGTGGCTTTGAATCCGGCCGGGTTGTTGGTGTCGCCCGGTTTGTTGAGCCCGCTGAAGGTGAAATCGTCCGCCGTCACTGACTGCGGCGGTTTGCAAGCAAACCCATTCATCGGCACTAAAAAACAAAGACGACGATTTTATGATTCACAATATACTTAACAACGAACGAATGAAGAGAGTCCATTGTTATCGCACGTAGTCAAGATTTCACTCATTCTAGGATGGAGAATTCGATAGTGAATTGAGGACTAGTAAATTTAGAATAAACAATTACAGACGCGATTTGATTTTTTCTATAATCTAGAGTATTAATATGCAGCACAAACCCATAGGAATTCCACCCAATTTCAAGCTGGCTCTGCCTCTAAACGTAATATGCAGTCTCATGCTTCTATAATAACACACTGAAACTAATATGGAAAACACTTTAACTTTTACGACATTGATAATGAATTTATAACTCTTGTAAATTAAATAACAATACTCGTGGTATATCATAATACTCCGTACTCGTATGACTCATACTCTACCCATACCTCCATTCTTATCGGCGACGCAGTAATCCTGAAGCGGCTTGCCATCGGTGGCGAGAGCAGGGGAAGAAGCTAATGAAAGAAGCGTAATGGTGAGGACGACAAGACAATAGCCGGTAGCCATTGCTGACGTTTACGGTAAGCTTTGTTAATTTGGTGGTAGGTGTGGAAGCAGAGGTGTGGGGAAGGGGATGAATGCTCGATCAGTTAGTATGGCTAAGTTGTGAAGAGTTATTATAGATCGATGTGTTGTGTCCTCCGACTTCCATTCAGTCTACCGGAAACAATTCCTTAACTAGCGGTAGAGAAACGTTCAAGTGTTTTCCTTCCCGGATCCGATATATATTCTTGTTCCCTCCGAGTCCGTGCATAAAGGAATTGAACCCTCGGCCGACAATTTACACCAAATATTTATTTTACTTTCCTTTGTATTCTGTATTTCTGTACGTAAGATTTGAAGCAAAAAGTAATCAACTACTCATCTATTTTTATCTCATTGTACTTTTTCCCTTAATTTAAAAATTAAGGGTAAATACAATATGATAGCCAAACCTGTCATTTTAATCAAAATAATAACCAAACCTTTCAAAAAATCAAAATTGTAACCAAATTGTTAACTTTCAATCCATTTGACCGTTACTTGGCTCTGACGTGGCAATATAATTGTTGAATTGGACAATTTTTGTTGACGTGGCATAAAAATCTATTGTTTGACGTGGCAATATAATTACTGAATTGGACAATTTCAGTATATTATTAATTAATATTTAAACAAGAAAATGAAAACTAATCTAACAGAGACTCCTCTGCGGTCACGATCAACATCCATTGGTTTCGGATGTCAACGTCGTTGGTGTCCGCATCGTCGTTGACAGTGTCGCCCCTCCCTAGCAACAACAAAATCGTATCAACAAAGTCTTCCGCCAAGGTAATCGGTTCCTCACCGTCCTGGATACCTTGAAGCGGAGCAGGCCCGGCACAGACCCTGTGCTGGTCTGACCCACAGCACAGGACCTCATCTTTTGGGGGCCTCATAATCCATAAGCCCAGCGTAGTCAAAGCCAAATTCGACCTCATAATCCGAGCCTGTTGGGCTGGCATGGTAGAGCTGCACCCCCTTGGGCTTTGCTCCAAACTGGGCCTCAAAGTCCATAAAAGGCGCAGCTGGTAGATCAAAGAAAAAACAAACGCCAAAGGATGACAGCCGTCGCAATCGAACTTTGGACCACGTTGTCCATAAAAAGGGCACTTAACCACTGGGCTGGGAATTATTTGATGGTTAAAACTAATAGTTAGAGTATTTAACGTCTTAATAAATGTCTATCCCTACTATCCCGGCTCCTAATGAACTTTTCTTTAAGTTCTAACCTTTTTTTCTTTTTCTTTAACAGTTGATTGGAAATTTGGAATCATTAATTTTTAGTTATAATTTTTAATTATGTCAACCCAAAAATTTGAAAAAGGTAGTTCTAAGCATAAAAGAAACAGAGAATTGATGAGCCTGAATACTAGTAGTCGATCTTGATGGCAATTCGAAAAATAGAAGTGAAGCTAAATTTTGTGCACAAAATGAACTTAGTGATTTTGAGTTTATTGTTTTATTAGTTATTAGGTATGAAATATTGCACTCAACAAATTGGTTAGTAAATATTTACAATCCAAAGATATACTTATTGATGATATTTTAGAAATAGATGGATTGATTTCGTTTTTCAAAATTTACGGAGAAAATGAAGGGCTGATAGAGGATTTTATTTCAAATAATGCTAGACGATTTTTACTTTTTGAACATTAATAGATAATATTATTACTTTTGTAATATTTTCTAAACTTAAGTAATTATTATTTAATTATTATTATTTTTAATAGATTTATGAAATAAAAATTTGGGGCCACATTTTAAATTGTAGAACAGGGCCTCCGAATATTACGGGACGGCTCTGATGTGGAGCATGCCGCTCTATTGGGGATCCTCCGCCGTCGGGTACCGGGATCTGATGGGCGAGAAGAACAACAACAATAACTGGAAAGGCGATGAGAGCAGCAACAATGGGGGAGGCAGCTTGTATTTATCAATCCTTATCAAGAAGCACGCCCGAATTGATGGGAAACTCGACAAAAACCATCGCCCCAATTTCTGAAGCAGTCAATCGGAGGTCGTTGGGCTGGCGAAGAAGGCGATTGCTAACTGAATCAGATCCCCTAGCGAGATTCTTTCAGGTCATGGGGTCATGGAGCATGGAGGGCCTGCAATCGAACGAGCTCTTGCCAGCTTGCTTTGTTTTGTCCTCTTTTTTTCCCATCCTCGAGCCACGACGGCGGCACGGCATGAGACGTCATCCCACCTCTCGCCGTCAAGATCCCTGCCACCGCGTGCATCCCTCCAATGTCCTCCCGGCTCGTATTTGTTCTCACTAGAATCTCGCTCAAGGGGCGAGGCTCGACACCGGCCTCCAATCTCAAGGAGCTCTTCGAGTAGCACAAGCAGGTCTGCATTTCAGCAACTGGACCCGATCGAATCTCCTTCGTGAGAATATGGTTATTAATAAAGAATAAGATTGAAATTAATAAATTATGATAGTTTAAAGTCAAACAATGGACTTTTTGCCACATCATCAAAATTTGTCAAACTCAACAATTATTTTATCCCTTGCTCATAAAAAACTGATATGAGAAAGGTTGGTGAAAGTGTAAACTAGTGTCCTCCGAAGAAATTGCCACGTCAGAGTCAACTAACGGTCAAATGGAGGGAAAGTTAACGGTTTGGCTATTATTTTGTTTAAAATAAAAGGTTATATATGGACCGTTTGCTTGTTGGATTGTGATCCAATCCATCATGGGTGGACGTACACTTGCATGAATCCAATAATTTTTTTGTTAGATTGTGTGGGTACTAAATCTTTCAGGACAAACTTGAAGGATCATTCTTACATGCAATTTTATGAAATCAAACTACCAATGTTGTCAGAACCGAACTGGAGCATGACCTGGTAATGCAAACGGCTCATACTTTAACGGATCAACCGGTATTAGACCTCATTAGAGAATTGATACCTTATAAACATTAATATTTTAAGTAGAAGACATATAATGTAATAAAAAAACATAATATACATACTAAATCATTGCTTGATTGACAATTTAGTGACTGAAATGAAATTGATTTTGAATGTATCATTTAGTAATTTGCCTTAGTATATATTTTTGCCACTATAAACCCCAGCAGCTGCACTCATCATCCTCCAAGCCTAGGCGGCTCCTCTCTCTCGTTTCTGTACACTAAACAAACCAAAGAAAATAATAATAATAAAATGATTTCTATCTAGCCAAAGAACAAACCTGAAGAATAAACGGTCACAAACATAAACGGTCACAAATTTTTGCACTTATTACAAAACTTAACCAACTTCTCACCCTTTCAGGCCTTAGGCCACTCAAATCCTTACAATCTCAATATAAAATCAAGACCAAATTGGGACCAGACCGGGTCAAGATCGGACTGTATCCAATCCAATCTTTGGTCCTTATATTTTCAAAATGACCGAATCAATTTGAGCCAATTTAACCGGATCGGACCATATAGCCACTCCTAATTCAAGCAAGAGGAAGCAAGGCTGCTCAGGCTACGATTCTATCATCTTTCTCGTCTGTATTTTCTGACATCTTTTTGTATTTTTTTTAATTGAACTTAACGGCCGAAATAAAAAACCGAGCGAGCGGCTCTAACGGTTAAATGCCACAGCCGCTACATAAAACCACAACTTTTTTAAACTGTGTAGAGCCGATTTAGTGATCGGGTGGCAATTTTAGCAATCCAACCAACCGGCTCGGCTTGGTTTTAATAACATTGCAAACTACATAATCGAATGCATTAATATTTCAACGACAACAGAATAAACAACAAAAAGAAAAGGTTTAATATCGAGGAAAAATGGGAAACAGTCTTTGACTAGTAGGGTTAGGGTTTTGTTTCTGTACCTCTTCTCCTGGAACCATGTATACAGAGAGTGTAACGTACCAAACAACAACAAAAAACCATCCCTGATATTTGTTAAACCACATAAACACATGGCCAAATTCATCTGTGTAGTCAAAACTTTCATGTTTGTAACAATAATAGCTACTTTTGACGAAATATCAAAAATAACCAGAATTTTGAAAGTTTCATGACAAATATAGTCATTTTCGTTACATATTTTAACGACGCCAGTGACACCGTTAGTCAAATTAACGAAACACTTACTTGGCTGCCAACTCACCGGACACATTATCGACAACTCACCAACAGTTGCCACATGAATGCCATGTCATATTTTAACTTAAAAATAAATAAAAATCATAAAAATACAATAATTTATTTATTTATTCTTCCCTTCATCTCTATCCTTCCTTTCATCTCCATCTCCCCCGTCCACCAAACTGCTCACCATCTTCAACTTTTCCCACTGTATTTTCAATCAACACAGATGGGGAATAACAGAGATAGATGGGGAACAACAAATTGGGAAAGCCAAAGGATCCCATTTTTCACAGTGATGCCGCATAAATCGCCCACCCTAGCCAGTCGCCCACCGCACAAATTTGGAAACCCCACCGTCGCTAGTCGCCCACCATGGATCCGGCGAAGAAGCTCAAAATCATCGAGATCCAAGGGATTTCGTGGAGGGGCAGGAGCGGATGAGTGATGCTCGATTAACCTCGGAAATCGCAAGAAGGGCTGCTCGAGCAGCAGAAACAGAGGAGGCTTGTCAAACTTCTACGAGGCAACGGCGGTGGAGATGAGAGGAGGAGCCACCGGAGGCGGCTCGACGAGTCAGGGAACTCGATTTTGCTCGAGGAAGGACTATCTCGGCGTCGAGGAAGGAAACACCGATGTTTGGAAGGAGATTGAGGCGGTGATTGATAAGGCGGAGATGACCCTGAGTCCGTGAGCGAGTTGTTGATTAAGAATCAGAGGGATAAGGACAAGGCAGTGGCGGAGTTGCTGCCGGATTGACTGATATCGAAACCGGATCTGGGAGGATTTTTCGAACAGGAGCGACTGCTGGGATAACTTGCGCAAGGGAAATGAAGAGAGAGAGGAGAGGGATTGGAGTAGAGAGAAGTTTTGGTGCTCGGGATACGGCCCAGATTTTTCCAACGTGACGGCGTGAATCGCTTTGGTGCTTGGGTACGACCCTCATTAGGAGGCCGCAGCGGAAGTGAAGGCGGCGGTGGATTGGGGTGGAGTGGGGTTGAGGGCGAGGGAGGCAGCGGAAGAAGATGAACAGGTTGGGGTTGGAGATTATTTTAATATTTTATTAAACTTAATTAGAATAAATTGAAGAAAGAGAGAAGGATGGATGGTTCAAAAATACTTTTTATTTTTTCATTTAATTTTATTAAAATAAAAAGATAAGTTTTAATTATTTTCCACCTAATATTATTTTTGAATAAAAAATTCCACGTTAACTGCCACTTCAAAAATGAAAAGGTTTGGGGACTAGTATGGGGGACAACTAATATGTGTTGTCTTCGGAAATATAATTTTAAGTACTATTAGGGACATAACTTAGAAATTGTCCCCATTGAATAATGAATGAAAATTGGTTAATTTCCGATTTTGGTGAGTTGTCCCCAAAAGTGAAAGTTTGGGAAAATGAGACATAAAACTTGGACGAGAATTTGGGGAAATATATTATCGGACGGATTTTTTTTCCCCAAATCAAGATCTGCAAGTTTATCTCTTTTAAGTTTAAATTGAAATTTTTCCACTCTTTTCTCAAAATTTTGCTTTTCCCTGTCCACCTTGAAGATCTTTTACTGCGCTATTTATTTATGTACTATTGGACTCGTTACTTTTTTTTTGGTCTCGTTACTTTGATAGGCTTAGTATTTAATTACCTTTTCGTTTTGAATTAGTATTTTAATGCCCAATTTTGAAGCGTACTAATTAGTGCATTCGGATGGTAATCGGTTCAGTTTAGTTATAACTGGAATCGTTTAGTCATTCTTGATAACTGTTAAGTATTTTATGCTTATCATTAATTACATTATTTATATTAGTCGATTAACTGTAACTGTATTGTCGATATTTGGTTATTTTATTAGTTAACCGGAGAATAGTTAAGTAAGTGACTCGCCAAGATTATACCAAAATAACCGGTTGATAACCTAACCAACATAAGACCTCCTTTTTACAATTGTGCATTTTTCTAGATTTTTTCCTACATAACTATGTATTATTTTTTCAAGTTGTTATCACTGAATAAAAAATAATTTAACATATATATCACACCGTATTCAACTCAATCCAACACAAGTACATAATAACACCATTCTACCGTCAAATTCGACTGTAGAAGCAAATAAAAATAAGAGACCCAACAACAATTACTCAACTAAAAAATTCCACCAAATTATGTGGAACCTTAAAATGTTATTGATTGTTGTTGAGCTATTGTGCACACGACCAACTTTCTATTGTGCTCCTTCTAAAGCCTTTTCTTGAAATTATTCTCATTTGAACCTAAGTCACTATTGCAACTAGGGTAGACAAGGAATCGTGTAGGTCTTCAAGCATTCCACTATTTTTTGTCTATTCTTACGTCTCATTGAGACCTATTATTTTTCGGCTCTAACTATGGGATGTTCATAATAGGTTAGTCGATTAACCGTTTAACCAACGGTTACTACTCGTTTAACAGTCCGTTATAATTAGTTAAATTTGACTATCGAGAACCAACTGTTTAGTGTTTAATGGGCTATAGGTGCAACCATTAATCATCAGTTCTGATTTGATTATTAGTTACACCGCTAATAGGATAATCGTTTACCATCCCTATGTATTCTTTGTATCGTGAGGCGATCTATTATACTCCAAAAGTATTGATGTTTCCGGGTATAAGTTGAAATTGTATTATAATATCAAAGGTACAAGTTCAGTTTGTATCATAACGAAATTGTACAAAAATATATAGGTATAAACTAAACTTGTACCATACGTTGAACGTACAAGTCCAGTTTGTACCATAAAGGAAATTGTATGAAAAGGTATATGAACAAATTGAATTTGTATCATAAACATTAAAAATACTAATTCAATTTGTACCATAAAAGAACTTATACGAAAATATATAAGAACAAACTGAATTTGTATAACACTAAAGATACAAGTTAATTTTTAATATAAAACCCAACAACTGCACAGTGCACACCCCTAACAATCTTTACGTTTTATATATATACTGCCTAATATACAAGTTAAACCCAACGATTTCAATCTTTACCATGATCAGCAAAGGATTTGATTCCTTGCTGATTCTATAGCTATGGTTGTATAAGGAACAAGTAGAAGACATCGACGTATGCTACGGAAATCATTAGTCAAATAATAATGGTAATCCGAAAAAAAAACTAAAATTTTCAAAAGGGAGAATCGCATCATGACCATATATACATCTTAATTAACTCTGATTTATATATTTATATTTTTCGTTTAACCATTATTACGGTATATATAGATACATTCCCTTAATTATCATACTCAATTCACGAATCTTATTTCATTCCCTTCTTTCCCTTAGGGTTTTCCGCCCGCCGCTGCAATCTTCTCTTCATTGCCACGACGTCTCAATTCAGAATTGCACAGAGAGGCATTGCGGCAATGGTCGTCATCACGCGTCCTGCTTCCGACCAACTGCTCCTGTGTCCGCGTTCCCAAAGGCACCCCTCTCTTTCAAGAGGATTCGCGGCATGTCAAGCCCTGGTAAGGCTCTTCGCTATGCAT